AGGAGGAGCCTCCACATGAAGGGACTAAGGAGTCACTGGCAGAGCAGTCATGGTCCAGAGAGCCTAGAAAAACTAGAGCAGAAGGCATCAGTGTCTAGAATCAGGGGTTAATAAGCAAAGTGCCAAATCCTATAAAGATGTCAAGTAAGGTAAGGACTGTAATAGGCGATGGGATTCAGAAATTGAAACTGACAGAAATGATTCATAATCTCTTAAAACTCTGACTTAAATGTTAGGCTTGCTGCTCTGGCCAAGCCTAATTAGAGCATCATCCTAATACTTCAAGGTTGCAGGTTTGATCCCCAGTCAGGACACATACAAGAATCAACCAATGAACGCATAAATGCATAGAGCTCATAGATGTCTCTCACTCTCTGTCTCTCCCTTGCTTACTCCCCCTTCCTCCCTTTCTCTTGAAAATAAACTAGGCCTGCTGTTACATTGAGGCAGAGGGAGAGGCCGCTACATTCCTTTAGAACAGCGGTCACCAACCTTTTGGACCTCACGGACCACCGGTTGACGACCGCTGCTCCAAAGGTTTCCTTAAACCAGCAGTTGCCAACCTTTCGACCTCACAGACCACCAGTGGTCTGCAGGCCACTGGTTGGCGACCGCTGCTTTAGAAAACAGAACAAAAGAAGAAGGAATGTAAGATGTCTACAAAGGAAAGGAAATAGCTGTGAATCTAAAACGCTTGCAATTCAGTGAATGTTTAGCCACACTTTCTGAATGCTACCATGATGGCCCAGTGAGCAGTGTGAGAAGGGAGATTATGTTTCCCAGGAGCTAAGTGTTCACCACTTCCTACTCCAGGCCTCAGTTTCCATGTGTGAAATGGCAATCTCTGAATGCCCTCCAGCAATGGAAATATTTTGATTTTATGGCAGAACTAAGACAATGCTAACCAGCTGTCCTGACTCTTGCCTGACATTTCACAGGATAATTAAGAAACCTAAAAAAACAAAAAGAAAAAAAACAAAACGCATTTCAGTTACTATTGGAAATTGCTGTATTTTTCATTTGCTATTGAAAAGTCCTGGTTTTAGACTTGACTTGAGATGATTGCTGTTGAAGTGAAATTTTTAAAGAGAACCATATATTTGCTTCCACCAGTTGCATGCCGTGAACGTTGGTTTAGCACTTCTCTCTTATGTCATAGAGAAACTGGCTTAATAGTTAATGCCCAAGGGAAACACTTCTGTCTTTCGTGGACATCCCCACCCAATTTTTCAATTTCAATAATTTTATTGGCAAAAGAGAGCATACCAAGACTTGCCAAAATTAATACGTCAATGAACTAATATGTCAAGTGTGTCTCTAGCTTCAATTGGACAAGCCAACAACTGACTAGAAAAATTGGGATGGGAAGAGGGAAACAAAATGAAAACAGGGATTTTAAAAGGAGTACTATGCTCTTACAAGTAGGGAGTGAAGCACCAAAACAAAGAAACAATGATGAATTAGCTGCACTAACAAAAAACGAAGTAACAAGCTATTTTGAAATCACTGCTACAGGAATTTAAAATAGAATGCAAAAGAATCAAACTTTCTCATCACTTCCTAACAAAACAAAAAAAGTGAGAGAAAGATCCCAGAGGCTCTGAACTAAACTATTGGCAAAAACATAAGTCACTAATGGGCATTTTGCCCAAAATATGATTTCTTCAAAACAGGATGTCCACTATTCATCATAGAACCATTATTTCAATTCCTAATATAAAAATCACATATGGGTTTCACAACCCATTCAAAACAAAAGACCTAAATAAAATCACAAATGCAATGTCCATGATAATTTAGGGGTAGTACGAAGAAAATATATCTTGAAATAATGTTTTACACTTTTATAAAAGTCCACTCAATATCTCCAAAGAAATTGCACACTCACGTTGTAATGTACTCAAGGACTAGACAGGAAAGAATAGAGGCTTTGCAGGGTGATCAACAGAATCTGAGGGGAGACCATGGAAAGTGGTAGTGAGCATGTTGGCCAAATTATATGGCCAACTGGGGAATCAATGGCTTTCCACCTTATTTCCTCTTCATGAGGGGAAATTAGGGAGGCAACTGTATGTGCAAGGGGCCCAGGTCTTGCATGATTTGGAAAGAGGTACAAGAGCTCAGGATAACGGAGAATGGAGACTAGTACACTGAGCCCAGTGGCTAGGGGGCCAGGATTGGATTGAAGATTATCTATGTAAAATATTTAGATATAGATTCTACATACAGATTAGTTTGTGGAGAAAGATTTGTAACTATTACATGCACACACCCCTCCCACTCTGGCAAAATGAGTAATACCTTAAATTTGTTTAACTTTACATTTTATTGAAAGCATTTATACATGCTATATACCTTGATCTTCACACAAAAATTTAACCAAGGAGTACACCGTAGCAGAGACTGAGATTTACTCTGGAATATGTGATTATTAAGTGGCAGGACAAGTATTCATTAAAAGAAAATCTGGATGCCTTTCCCTTGTACTATATTTGGTTTGTATACACTCAACACTTACAGGCCTGACACCCTTATCTATGACATGCATATATGTTACTCTTAGAACAAACTGTAGCCCTAAGGGTTTTAAACATTTGTGACCCACGTATACTCAATCCAATGCATTTAAAACGTGAAGAAGTTGAAGGTTATTAAAAGCTTAAGATAATCAAAACTGCACAGAATGAATCTCTCTTGGATTTTTATTAAATTCTGTCTCTCTCCCCTTCCCTCTCTCTGTCTCTTCCTCTAAATGTAAAGTTTATAACTTCAAATAAAAGAACTGAAGAGGCTCCTGCTTGGGACCAAGATGGAGAAACAGGGACCAGACTTATTCGACCTGAAACAACCAACAAGCTGGACCACATGCATGTTTCCAGATGTTGGGCTCTGGCAGCACAGGACAGCCATCCCTTACGAAGGAGAAACAAATGAGGTGAGCGCTGCAAAGCCCAGAGCTTACAGACAGGATGTTACAGGGCCGCAGAGGGTCCCCTCAACACTTCAGCAACGTACGGGCCATCAGGTGTGTGTGAGGGAAGCGGGGGCCACCGAAAGGAAGTCAGTGGGCTCACGGAGGGCTTGGGAAAGGGTAAGCTCCCACCAGCCAGAACGAAAGCTCACGCTGCAGCGAGCAGCAGCTCGAGTCCTGAGACGTGGTGCCTGAGAGTGGGACACAGTCCTGAGCAAAACTGCTTTGGGACCATCGAAGACAACAGTGTAAGGTCTTTAAAGGAATGAAAGAAAAAACCCTCATCAACCTAGAATTCTATATAGTGTTTAAAAAGAAAAATACTATTTTTTCAGACATGCAGAAGTTGAATAAACTCAACAGCAGCAGAGATCTGCACTACCACAAGTGGCATCTACTATTTCAGGCAGAAGGAGAAAGGGACCATGTGGAAATCTGAAACTACATTAAGGAATGAAGAGCAATGGAAAAGGTAGGTAAATAAGTGGGTAAATATCAAAGACTTGATAGAAGAGGAATAACACTGCAATCTGTTCTCCAGACTTATTACAATGCTACAGAAATCAAGTCAGGGTGGTTTTAGCATCAAGACAGACAGTAGATCCATGGAACATAAGAGTCCAGAAAGTAATCTACATGTGCTTCAACAACTGAACTTTCAACACCGCTGCAAAAGGCCAGTTGATGGAGAAATGACAGTCTTTCCAGCAAGTGGTGCTGGAATAACTGGATATGCAAAAAATGACCCTTGATACGTAACTCTTACCATATATAGAAACCTGAAATTGACCACAGACTACATCTAAGATCTAAAGCTATAAAACTTCCAGGAGAAAATATAGGAGACAAATCTTAGTGACCTTGGCTTTCTTAACCATGACATTAAAAGCACATAATATAAATTAAAATATTAATAAGCTTTTGTTCTTTGGATTACACTGGCAAGAAAAAAAATGCAAGCCATAGACTAAATTTTGTAAAACATCTAACCAAGGATTCGTTTCCCCCCAAAATAGTTGGTGCCTGGCATGTATGGAAAATCTCTTACAGAGCATCCAGACAAGCAGCCTAATAAAAATGGGCAAAGGATTTGATAAGATATATAATCAAAAAATGTATGCAGATTACAAGTGGGCACATAAAACTGTGAAATGTCATCAGGAGGATGCACCATGTGATACACCGACTAGATGGATAAAATAGAAAAGATGGAGCGTACCTGGGCCTCCAGGACTAGAGCAGCGGCTTCTAACGGAGAGCTCCGCTGAGACTCAGGAGGGTTCGGGGAAGTCTTTCATCCTCCTACCCCTACTGCCAAAGACCAGTGACAGCTACTCAGTCTGCTTTACCAAGCTCTTGTGATGGTCAAGGGAGACCCTGTGCAGCCACTTTGTAAACTTGGAATAAAGGTTATTCTGTCAAAAACTACACAGACATGAGTCTCTCTGGAAAGGTAATTTAAAGAAAGTAATAGGAAAGATAAATAATACCATGTTAGGTCTTTTCATATTTCCTTATTGCCCTTAAACTATTTTCAATACTTTAGAAACTTTTAATATTTACTTAAAAGGTCTATAAATACAAGATGTCCCCCCAAAATGTATACACACTTTGAATAAAGGCAGTGGTTATTAAAACACATTTCATTTTCAAAATGTAATAGAAATCAGCTGGTAAAGTGCGTATACATTTTGGGGGGATACACTATATTTACAAAAAATGACTAAAAATAATATATATTTGTCTAAATTAATGTTTGCCATAATAACATTATACTATTCTCTATGGTGCTAGGCATTACAATAACAAGTTGGTAAACTGTTGATATTTATTAATATTTTAATTATCATTAACCACAAAATTTGGCAGTAAAATTCACTTTTCATGAAGGCATGACATGTGTTAACAACTCAATCCTTTTTTAAAACATGTTTTTATTGATGAGAGAGAATCATCGATCGGCTGCCTCCTGCACGCCCCTTCCTGGGGATGAAGCCCACAACCTGGGCATGTGCCCTGACCAGAGTCGAACCTCAACCTGGGTCGTGGGTCGATGCTTAACCACTGAGCCACAACAGCCAGGGCAACAAGTGAGTCGGACTTACTCCTTGTGCCCCTCGATTTCTCCTGGCAGCTTGGCAAGAATCCACGCCCTCAGTTTCTCTAGCTCCCCTGTGCTTAGCTCGTGAAAAAGCCCCGGGAAGCTGTGGAACTTGGTGCTCACCCCCAGAGACTGTAAGGCCGAGTTTGTCTCTTCCCCCCAAGAATGAAGGACGAGCTCGTCAGCAGTCCCGTGGCACTGGAACAGCTCGGGGAGCGCCCCAGCCCGCTTCTGCAGCGCCTAGAGGAGAGGACGGACCCGTGGAGAGGTTAAAGGACAGCATTCTTGTAATTCAGAGAAAGCGTGGAAAATTCCAATATTGAAAGGGAAAAAGGAGACTGTGCTGTCCCAGGTACCCACCGGTGGGCCTGGCACTGGGCTCTGTTGTGTGTGACCTGCATTTACTCCACAGAGGACTGTCTCAGACACGGTCCACGCATTTCCCAGGAGACTTAGGAAGACAGACCTCTTTGGAGAGGGAGGCAATCAAGGGGAAAAATACGTTCTAGTTCTCATTTCTCCATCTGCCATTTCTGCTGTTGGTAATAAAGCTGCAACACTACCACAGTCATAAGGGGACGCTGCTGTGAAACAGCTGTCAGCAATGCAGTAGGTCATTTTGATTCTGTTCATGAAATAAGCAAACAGCTAGAATCATCTAGGGCAGGGGTCCTCAAACTTTTTAAACAGGGGGCCAGTTCACTGTCCCTCAGACCGTTGGAGGGCCGGACTATACTTAAAAAAACTATGCACAAATTCCTATGCACACTGCACATATCTTATTTTGAAGTAAAAAAACAAAACGGGAATATTTGTATTTGCATGTGGCCCGCAGGCCGTAGTTTGAGGACCCCTGATCTAGGGTGTCCCCCAAAAATGTATACTCGCTTTACTAGACGATAGCTCAATTTTGAAAATGAAATGTATTTTAATAAACACTGCCTATATAATTATTCAAAGTGTGTACACATTTTTTGGGAAACCCTGTATAGCAGCGTTTCTCAACCTGTGGGTCGCGACCCCTTTGGGGGTCAAACGACCCTTTCACAGGGGTCGCCTAAGACCATCGGAACACACATATATAATTACATACTGTTTTTGTGATTAATCACTATGCTTTAATTATGTTCAATTTGTAACAATGAAAATACATACTGCCTATCAGATATTTACATTCTAATTCATAACAGTAGCAAAATTACAGTTATGAAGTAGCAACGAAAATAATTTTATGGTTGGGGGTCCCCACAACATGAGGAACTGTATTAAGGGGTCGCGGCATCAGGAAGGTTGAGAACCACTGCTGTACAGGAAGGGTCCACATGTACCATCGATGCATTGTTTATATCCTTCCCCTTTGACACCTGGCTTAACCATATTCTTCGTACAGGACATTTGGTTAATTACTGACTGGAATAAACCATATGACTAACTTGGCCTATCACCATGTTAATTGTTTTAGTTTCAACGTGTAAATATTTCATGTATTTTCCTGTTGTTTTTATTTTTAAAGCTGGAACTTACCTGGTAAACAGCAGAGGTTTTATTCAGGAAACTGGAAAGAGCAAACACTCCCGCCACATCTTGGTGATTCCTATACGCCACATGCATCGCCATGCACCCTCCCATGGAAAAGCCTCCTAGGAGAAGCAAGAGTTCACGCTCAGAACAGAACACGTGCAACAATACTTCACAACAAGATCCATCTGTGCCCGTCTTCCGCAGATTTTATAAAAGCAAATGAAGACAGACCTTTAAAGATGTGGCACTAATTTAGTCTACTTCAATTCTCACAGATAAAGACCAGCTATGAGTCCCGTCCATGTCATCACTGGGAAGGATATTTAATAATAATAAAAAAAAGCTGGAATTGTATAAAGCAATCATGTTCAAGTAAAAAGATTTATAATTCAAAATATGAGTCATAGTGCATTATTTAATACTTGTAAGTCCTCACAGTGCCACTAGAATTAATCACATGCATCTTTTGCCAAGTTAGAAGCTATACCTCTAGTGCAGTGATGGCGAACCTTTCGAGCTCGGTGTGTCAGCATTTTGAAACACCCTAACTTAATTCTGGTGCTGTGTCACATATAGAAATTTTTTGATATTTGCAATGATAGTAAAACAAAGACTTATATTTTTGATATTTATTTTATATATTTTAAATGCCATTTAACAAAGAAAAATCAACCAAAGAAATGAGTTCGCGTGTCACCTCTGACACGCGAGTCATAGGTTCGCCATCACTGCTCTAGTGCCTGCCACCAATAGATGCTTAGTGACCGCTGAACTAGGAAAGACACTCAAAAGACTGGGTGAGCTAGTTAAAACATTTTTGGATTACAATATTATTTTGAAAACTCCCTGACGATGGTATATATATATATATTTCATACACATACATATACACACACACAAACGTTAAACAAGTTTAAAAAACAATGTACTCATTTGACAAACCTTATTGTCTTTTACGTGCCAAGCACTGTGCTGCACATTGAAGTACCCAGATTAATATACACAAACCTAGCGCTCCCTTGGGCAGCACATGTGTGAAAATACATGGACCTCATGTTCGAGGGGGAAACAGAGACATCATAATGGAGACACATCAGAGAGGGTGACCCAACCTCAGGTGAGAGACTTGGTATGATATTCTCTGTCCTGAGTCAGAGTTATTTCATGAGAAATACAAAAAGTAAGCTGCACACTGTGGAAATATGAAAATATACTATATACTTTGGTATAGAATTCAGAGCTCTTAATTTCCAGCTTCCTGCTTTATTTCAATTCACGAAGTATACAGCTGAGCCCTTAGAGACTGTACATTTGAATTTACTGCAATCTCCTTTAGAGATGAAGGGAGCATTAGCCACAGGAGATCAGATGACCTGGGTAAGGCCGCACCCCTAATTTCAGCTGTAAAGCTAGGACTTGTGAAACCCAGATTTCGTGCTGATACTTATTAAAGTAGAACTACTTCATCTGGGGCAGGCTGGTAAGAGTATTCTGGACCCAGGATACAAATCCATGAGTGAAGATCACCAGCTTTGGGAAGTTCAGGTTTTTACAAAGGGCGCAGTATGCTACATATTACACCTGTGGCTTTCAGCAGAGAATCAGAAGGAAATAAAAGGGCTCACCAGTAGCAGCAGCTCCCCATGGATGGGAACAACTTGAAAGGCTCTTTCAAAACCACTCCCAGATGCAGATACATCTAATTAGAGGCTCTCGAATAAGCCTGGTGGGGGAGTGGGGAGCATAAATGTCTTAGAATTGTATGTAAACTTTGCATTTGTGCATCACATTACAAACAATGTTAAAAGCCACGGGCACCATTACCTACAAATCTGTGCATTGAAACATCTTTGCCGTGTCCCATTAAAACATGAAGAGCTTACTGTATACAATATTATTTCATTTCCAGTAAAGTTAGTTGAACAAGAAGATCGCTAGGGTTTCCATCACATTTTAAAACCTATTCTATAAATGCTTAATAAGCACTTGTAAAAGTTCAAACAGCAAGGACTTTCAAAATTTACAGTTATTATAATTACAGAGCTTTACCTTCAGTTTGGGAATAAGACTCCATAGCTCTTAGAATATACTTTTAGCCTTTCTTTAAAGTTCACAAAACTGATCTTAGCAAATGCTCACCTTCTACTTCCTTCTCTTATCTTTCCTTTTCACCATTTACTGACAAAATGAATTCAAAGTTGCTTATCAAACACATTGTTAATAGAATTACATCTCTAAAATGAAGGGAAGATGAGAAGGGCTGGGGAGAGACCAAGAGGCCAAAAAGAACAAAAGAGAAAGGGAGGGGCAGCATAATTAGGGGTAAGACCGGACATTTAACTGCTTCCCTGTAGCAAGGCAATACTCCTTAACAGAAGAAAGCACAGCAAATTGTACTGGAAACTTTTCCTAGCACTGAATTACTGGGTGGAATTTATCAAGTAGATCTTTACTATCAGACCTTTTACATGCAGCCATTTCTGCTCTGACTCTATAACCGTCCAGGGCAGAAGACAACCCCCACTAGACTATCAGGGTCATGTGAGCAGGGATTTTTGTGTATTTTATTCACTGATGTGTCCTCCCGAGGCACAGAACAGTGCCTAGCACATAGTAGGTGCTTAATAAATACTTGGTGAATAAATGAACAGTCAATTGCAGTTCCCATCAGGATATTTCTGCAAGGTGACAAATTTACAGCATCAGGACATGTAGCCCAACAACCACCACAAACAGAACACTTTTTCCCCGTGGGAAATGTAATTACAAACAAACATAAATGCATCCCGAAAGCATTTAACCTCAAGTTCAATTTTCATAATTTACAAGGGAGACAAATGTATTGACTGAAATCTTATTATTTAAAAATGTAATGTATGTCCCTTACCCATTTATACTCTTGGGAGGTAATCTGCAATTTCTCACCAGCCATCTCTGACAATGCAGTCACCTTTAGCATTGGACACTGCTATGAAAAGGGACTTTGTGTATTTTTTTAGAATAGAAAAACATTTAACACAAAGGACTAGTTATTTGAATTCAATTTCCATCTAAATGTCTAAAATGCAATATAAAATATACTGTCCAATAAGTAAATACCAAATAGTAAACTCATTGTAGGTAATGGTTATAATGTATATTTATAGTTGCTGGCAAAGTATTAAAATGTCAAGAGTTAACATTTCAACATACATTTAAGATTAACGAGCTGAATAAAACATGTTAAAAAATAATAAACCTAGTTTTTATGAACTCCTTAAATAAAATAAAACAGAAACAATATATAAAAAAACTGTACTGGGAAAAATAAGTTAATCTATCTGAAACAAAATCCAGAGAAAAAAATACTTACAACTCAAGTTTACTATCAATTGAATAGGATTTTTAAAATGTAATAAAATCAGCCTTCCCTCCAAATTTCAACAATTCTTCTATTTAATTATATGTTATGCTTCAGACTGAACTGTGATAAAGTCTCAAAAGACTTGAGAATACATATATATATATATATTTGTATATTTTCTCACACAAAACTTATAGGATAACCAAAATATTTATCATCATCTATGCAAAACTGTCAGAACAGCAATTCCACTGCTTGAAAATCCTGATAATAGCTGTTAAAGAAACATAAGTTGCTTAATTAAGACATGCATGAGTTAAAGCAAGTAGGATGCTGTCATTCTTAAGTTTTAGCTCCAAGAAAGAGCTGCAGAAGATACTTGTATTAAGTCAGGACAAGGGATCCTGGAAATGCTGGTGGCAGGCTTCATCTTGGTAATTCCAACTATCCCTTCATTTTTATTTTAAATCTTATAAAATCGATATATTAGTATACACCCATCATGTAAAGTGTTTCCATCATACAGACAAAAATAAATATCTAAAATCTCACTTCTCCTACATAATTTTGACATTTTAAAAAAATTCATGTTAATAGTTAAACATTCTATATGTATAATTTTATACCTTTTTCATGTAATACTGATTTGAAAGTCTTTCAAAAGAATCACAAAACTCCCTAATTATACTTTTATTCATTGAACGCATACTTAATAAATGTCTCCTATGTGACAGTATACATAGTATTTAATGGTTACATAATATTCATCTGTATTAACAGACCAAAACTCCCTTAACCATTACCCTCATGATGGATACTTAGAATTCTACTTAGGTATCATTCCAGAAGCACTTCTCCCTGTTTCAAAATTCTCATAGTATGCTCATATTATCAAAATTCTTATAATCTGGTCATAGCATTTGTCAAGATCTATACATCCCAGATCAAAGTTAAACCTAAATTACATCAATTTTCTCTTAATAACAAATCATCACCACCTAGTGGCCAAAAAAGGAATCTCATTCTGTACAAAGTTCTTGCCTGAGTGCATGGGTCTGGGTTCTAGTCCCAATGCTATTTTGCATTAGCCAGCAACCTCTTGGATGTTTAGTTTCATCATAACTGAAATGAGAGTAAGTTCCTACTCAACCTATTACAAGGCCCAAGAGAGATATATGAAAACAACCTGTATAATTTAAATACTAAATATGAAACATTATGATATATAATGGCAATTTTAAACCTGTCTATTTTAGTCATATTACTACTATATATATTTTCTAAGCACAAAAGTACACACAAGGAAATTGATACACCTTTTCCACTTAGATTTCTCACATTATATAGGAACACATCAGAAGGAAAGGAAGCGTTCAAGACAGTAACAGGGAGGCAGACTGTACTATGAAATACACTTACATTCTGCACACTGGACACTTCACCTTGTTAATCAAACCAGAAGACCGGATTATGCAGGGGTGGGGAACATCCAGCCCGCGGGCCATGTAGTGCCCTCAAAATCAATTGGTCTGGCCCTGCCAAGGCATTAGGGCTGAGTTAATCAAATGTTTGACCAAATATAGTGGGATCATTTTTAAATTGATACTTTTGTATGGCCTGAGAATTATGTTGTAAATATCCAAATGGCCCTTGGCAGAAAGACGGTTCCCCACCCCTAGGATAATGTAATATCATTAATAATTTTCTCAGAATACAGGACTTGTCCCAGGTTTTATTTATGACTATGTTGCCAACATTGAGAACAAAATTCAAAAGTCACTATTTTATTGCCTGTGCTTCCCCTTTTCTTATACCTTTTGTAGAATCACGTTTGGTATAAATATATGAAATTAAATAAATACACTTCTTATGTAGAGTGCGAGGACTCACAAATGTCTCCGAGAAGCACATTGCACTGAAAATCCATCCCTCTTATCAGACACTGAGCTAAGTGGTGAGCCTTGGCCCAGCTCTTCTATCAGGCCATAGTTTATCTTTTCCACTAGGAAGGTAATATATTTCCATTGATTAAAACTAAAAACAAAGAGTGTATTTTCACTACTAACACCTGCAGTCGACTGGCCTTACGTATCCTCCTAATAATCCTTGTTTCCAAAACCTGACACAGCGCATGCATTCGTCTCTCACCCCTCTAGTGCAGCGGTTCTCAACCTGTGGGTCGCGACCCCTTTGGGGGTCAAACGACCCTTTCACAGGGGTCGCCTAAGACCATCGGAAAACACATAGATAATTACATATTGTTTTTGTGATTATTCACCATGCTTTCATTATGTTCAATTTGTAACAATGAAAATACATCCTGCATATCAGATATTTACACTACAACTCATAACAGTAGCAAAATTACAGTGATGAAGTAGCAACGAAAATAATTTTATGGTCGGGGGTCCCCACAACATGAGGAACTGTACTAAAGGGTCGCGGCATTAGGAAGGTTGAGAACCACTGCTCGAGTGGCTCCACACATCTGCCTTCTTGCTATTCTCCTGGCTTCACACTCGCCGCCCTCCATGGTGTTGTTAAGCACAATCTTTCTAAAATGCACACTCTTCATGTCACTCTCTGCATATAATTCAAAATCCCTAGGGGTCGGGGCGTGCACCAAACTAGTATTTCCAGAGAGTCTGACATGCCTCTCGCTTTCTTTCATGAATGTTTCCCTCCTGTTTATCAGTCATATTCTGACTCATTCTTTGTAACTCAGTTGGAATCATCTCTCCTAAGAAGCAGTTCTTAACTCCCTTAAAGGTTCAATACTTCTTTCCTCACTGCTCACCCTGCACCTTGAACACATTTTTACAATAACACTTGTATCGTATTAGAACACTTGACTTCTGTATCTCCCTCATTAGCCTGTAACATTTTTGATAGTTTTTTGGGGTTTTTTTAGTACTCCAGGGCTTAAGCAAATTTTTAGTTAACAATTGGAGACTGAATTTAGTATGAGAAGTACCATTTTTTACTTGACAAAGAGAAGGTTGGATATCACATACTATAAAAAATTGTTCTTAAAACACTAAGTTTAATAAAATGCCACTAATCAAAATAAAACCCCGGAGAAAAAATGGGCTCCCACCTACTCAAATATAGAGACTAGTTTTGTTTAAAAGTTACACTGGTTGCAATTATAACCACAGAGTGTATGTTGTGTGATATTAAGCTGGAAATTTTATCACATATTGAACAAAAGCAATAAGGACAGTTTGTGTACCTATTACCTCTATTTTTTCATTTTCAATCATAATTTCCTAGTTTTTTCTCTCATAATTCATTTTTTAAAGTGACCTACCATCATTCTGATGTGTGTTTAATAAAATTGGTCAGAATATCAAAGCATTTTTTATTTGAATTCCTATTGAATCCTTCATTAAAATGTTAAGAATAGCACTTACACCTTATTAACATGTAAATTAAGAGTACTAATTAGAATATTTTCTACTTTTTTATGAATGAAGATTGTATGATTTTATTTTAAAGCAATTTCTTATCCTAATCTTTCCTTTTCCCACTCATCACATTTCTTCAGGACCGCATTACCATATAAATTCAGTAACTGAGGTTTCTACATGCAACTTCACATCTCATCACTTACCCCTCCTGCCAGATTAATTTTCCTAAATTAATTGCAATTAATTATATGACTCAAACACCTTTTTCAATCATCTCTCACCAATTATCCTATATAATAAAAGGCTAATATGCAAATAGACTGAATGGCAGAATAACCGAACAACCAGTCACTATGACGTGCGCTGACCACCAGGGGGCGTGTGGGAAACATGGCAGGCTTTGGCCGTGGCAGGATGGTGGAGCAGGTGAGTGGGGGGCACCAGACCAAGGCAGGGTGCCGGTGAGCCTCTGGTGGTTACTGAAAATTCTTTGCTTCTGCACCATGGTCCCATCTGGCGCTCACATCCGCTGCTGGCGCCAGAGCCACCATTTGCACCCACTGCCAGCCCCGATTGCTAGGCACCGTCAGTGGGTGTGAGTGGCGGCTGCCAGCCCCGATTGCCCCTCAGGGCTTCTCCGCCTCCCCCTGCTCCTGAGGGGCGATTGGGGCAGCAGCTGCCTCTTACACCTGCTGCCGGCGCCAGAGCCACTGCTTGCACCCACTGCCAGTGCTGACCCCACTTGTACCCACAGCAGGCGCCAGAGCTGACCACCCGCTGCTGATGCCTGGCGCCATCAGCAGATGCAAGTGTGGCTGTCAGCCCCGATTGCCTCTGAGGGCTTCTCCACCTTCTCCTGCTCCTGAGGAGCGATCGGGGCTGGCAGCTGCCAGCCCTAATTGCTCCACACCTTCAGTAGGTGTGAGCGGGGCCAACACCATCAGTGCGTAGGAGTGGCGGGAGCCGGCTGCTGGCAGACAGGAACTGGGGGCTGCAGCGGAAGGGGGCATGGAGGATGGGCCGAAACCCGCCCTGTGCCTACCACAGCCTTGCAGCCCACAGTTCCTTTCAAGGTGTATGAATTCGTGCACAGGGCCCCTACTTCCATGGTCGGCAAACTGCAGCTCGCGAGCTACATGTGGTTCTTTGGCTCCTTGAGTGTGGCTCTTCCTCAGCCTTAGGAGTACCCTAATTAAGTTAATAACAATGTACCTACCTATATAGTTTAAGTTTAAAAAACTTGGCTCTCAAAAGAAATTTCAATCGTTGTACTGTTGATATTTGGCTCTGTTGACCCCCTTTACCGTTGAGACAACAGAACCCAAATAGGCAGCGATAGACTTAGACTGGAACCCGTTTTTGTCACTAACGGGCTCTTCAGCCTCCTAGTCCAACTACCAGAGTCAACAGCTAATTTTCCATTCAAACAACAAACTTTATGCTAACATGTAATGTCCAAACAAGCACTTCTTTTTCTGCTTGTATGTACTGTTCATATACTTCTCTGTACCTATCCCTGCACACTATGAATAAAATTTTATCTGTACATCTCAAAATCTCCAATACCCTAGCTGCCTTCCCACTAGACTTCTCAGCCTCAAACACCTATGATCTCTTCTGAATCCCAGTGGTACTTAATTACTGAAGTCAACAATTCACTGATTAGGTCATTCCACTTGTGATAATTTTCCTAGGCACCTGCTCTGTGCCAGGAATGGCAATGAATCCTGGGAAATAATCCTATATAATAAAAGCCTAATATACTAAGTGTCTGGTTGTCCGTTCAACCAATCAAAGTGTAATATGCTAATGATATGCTAAAGTCGTTCAACTGCTTGCTATGACGTGCATTGACAACCAGGGGGCAGACACTCCGACTGGTAGGTTAGCTTGCTGCTGGGGTCCAAATAGGCCAGACATGCCCTGGAGCCCTCCTGTGGTCCTTCCCCGGCCCTGATCGTGCAACGGTAGGGTCCCTTGGCCTGGCCTGCACCCTCTCACAATCCGGGACCTCTCAGCGGATGTCAGAGAGCCGGTTCTGGACCAATCCCGCAGGCTAGGCCGAGGGACCCCACTGGTACACGAATTCGTGCACTGGAACTCTAGTAATGAATATGTGTGATCACTCTTGAGGAGCAGGCAGTTATTGGGCTGTAGGGCACTTGTCATTGGCTGCTTTATTTACAGTTGTCATTGTAAGTACCTCATGGGCTCTTCCAGGTTGTAAATCATTATGAGATAGCTCCTGTTTTATTTAGCTATGTGTCCCTTTGAGCATCTGACACATTGCCTGCATACAGGAGGAACTTAGAAAATATTTGGTAAACAACTGAGTATGATGGAATCGGTCATACATGCACACATTTTTAATTCTGTCCTGTAAGTATGTTGCCTAATGACCTAGACCCGTGGTCGGCAAACTGTGGCTCGTGAGCCACATGCGGCTCTTTGGCCCCTTGAGTGTGGCTCTTCCTACGCCTTAGGAGTATCCTAATTAAGTTAAGAACAATGTGCCTACCTATATAGTTTAAGTTTTAAAAATGTGGCTCTGAAAAGAAGTTTCGATCGTTGTACTGTTGATGTTTGGCTCTGTTGACTGATGAGCTTGCCGACCACGGACCTAGACGGAGTTGGGTGCCCTTCCTGTGCTCTACCCAGCACTCCCACAACGCCACATATTTATCTCTATTAGAGTTAAACACAGTTGTTAAATATGATACATAGAAACTCAGAGTTAAATACAGATGAGAAAACAGAGGCCCATAAAAGGTGATCTTACTGTAAACATCCAACCTCATTTTTGTATGTATTATAAAAATAGAGATATTATAGTTTATGTATTTGATGATTACCGAAAAAAGGGCATTAAGCAGAATAAAGAGTTTATGTAAAGGCACATTATAGCCCCGTGAGAATAGAGGTTGCTCAAGTTAGTTAACAAAAGTTTATAAATACCTTATTCCTGTGATACTAACTCTGAAGAGTTAATTAACTTCGTAAATTTGATGTTATATTTTGACTGTGTACTTTATCTTAATCATGGCAACAGTAATTTAAACATATATTAAAACTTAATCTAATTAAAATAAATTATTTTAAAAACTGAAATGAATAATCTAATTAAAATTAAACACGGGGCTCTCAAACTGTTATTATTAAAATGAAAGGGAATTAAAGTTTCATGAGTTATTGTTTATAATTCTAATATATTTGAAACCCTTAGTACATAGTTTATTTGAAACTATAAACAGGTCAAATGATATATAAGTGCTTCTAAATAATATTCCAAGTGAAGTTCAACGTAAAGAATTTAAACAAAAGGAAAAAAATTAAATTACCAACATTTGAAGGTCTTACCTATTAATATTCTATTCTTCTTGATGCCACTTTTTACTTCATCATTAATCAAGTCTGTGAGCACCTGACACATCACATCGATGGACTCAAGGTGCTCTGGGCAGTCGTTAGATATTTTAAACCTGTCGAACCACACGTTGGAGATTCCTCCTTTCATAGGAGTATAGGGTCTGTTTAAAACCAAAGAAAAGAAAAAGGGGATGACATTAAGGTAGATTTTTTAATTTCTAAAATCTAAAGTAGATTTTTTAATTTCTAGTGTTTTGAATAAATCATTTCAATTTCCTCCAAGTTTTATAAATTGAAAAATTCCTATTAAGAGCACCCCCATGTATATGGCATTAGCTCACCTATACGTATATCAATTCCATTAACATTTACTAATACCAGTACATGTTTAGTTTCTCCATCTTTAAGATTCATAAATTCTCCAAAATTCCTTACAAAAATTGAATTTTTATATATATATAAAACATATATATATTATATATGTACATAGTATGTGTATATTTTTTGCTCAGTATTTAAAAATGATTCATCAGGTCTACTATGTTTTTAAAATTTTCTGCATTATTTTTCCCCTTTAATGTAAGAATCAGTATTTTAGTATACACAGCTAACTGAATGTTGTCCATGCAAAAAATTCAATACCCCAAGAGTGAAAAATAATTCAGTGAAGTGCTTTTAAAAGTTGTTTAATTTGCAGCACTCAAGTATCAAAGGTGAGCTAATAATTTGAGTCTCAAGCTGGGTGCTTTGTTGGACTTATAAGACATTTTATGTAATAAGATGCTCTGAATTGGTGCCTTGTTGAACACGGTTACTCTTATAAAATTCTTTACATTTTTGTAAAGTTGGGATGGTTCCAGTACTAGTGAATCTTAACCCATTTATAGGATATTCATACTCTGAATGAAGTTAAAGTGCCAAAGGTACCCATCACGATGCGAAAGGAATGTAAACCAGTGATGGCCACAGATGCAGAATTCTTCCCACATCTACTCCCTGGCCCATTTTGGTTAGCTGTATACTCTCACTCCAGAATCAGTGAGACAGGGTGAAATGTAGACCAGAGCAAAGCACTGGAGGATGCGACACCAGCTGAACCCTGGTGGTGCTTCCCTTCATCTTCTCTAGTGAAACCCAGTGGAACCTCAGCGACCCAGGGAGCTATAAATATTGAATTCTCATTCTCTTATCCATCAAAAGGATCCTCAATCTGTGCAGATCTGCCTTGGGAAGCATCCGAGCTTTTAGACCAGCCGTGGGCAAACTACGGCCCGCGGGCCGCATCCGGCCCATTTGAAATGAATAAAACTAAACAAAACCACCGTACCCTTTTATGTAACGATGTTTACTTTGAATTTATATTAGTTCACACAAACACTCCATCCATGCTTTTGTTCCGGCCCTTCGGTCCAGTTTAAGAACCCATTGTGGCCCTCGAGTCAAAAAGTTTGCCCACCCCTGTTTTAGACCAATGGGTAGGACTGAAAGGGGCAGGAGAGTGACACCATCATTTTTCTGTATTGATCAGACGATTCCAAAATACATGGGCATCCACTTTGGGAGCCAGGAAATCAAGAGGAAGACATTTGGAAAGTTTCTCAGACAAATTGAAAGAAATCTGGAAATAAGAATTCATCTACACAGGGTCTTTTATTTACTAAAATAGAACCTTGTTATAAACATGACTTTGCAACATGCTTTCTAAAACTTGAATGTATATCTTGCCCATCTGGTGTGGCTCAGTGGTTGAGCATCGACCTATGAGCCAGGAGGTTGAGGCTCAATTCCTGGTCAGCGCACATGCCCAGGTTGTGGGCTTGATCACCAGTGTGGGGCATGCAGGAGGCAGCTGATCAATGATTCTCTCTCATCATTGATGTTTCTATCTCTCTCTCCTTCTCCCTTCCTCTCTGAAATCAATAAAAATTTATTTAAAAAACACTCCACAACATTAAACAAAACAAAACTGGAATGTATATTTTGAATATCCCTAAAAGACAGTATATTAAAACCTAACATTTTCTGTTTAATGACGATACATGATATTTTATATATATATATATATATAAATAAATCTGTGTGTGTGTGTGTGTGTGTATCTTTGATGTTTTTCATATAAATCTTATTTTTTGCACCATTTCTCTTCACCACTCTCACTCCCCCGACACCTTGCCCTTCACACTAGGTTTTTCTGCCAAGGGCCATTTGTATATTTATAACATCATTCGAGGGCCATATAAAATGATCAACTTAAAAATTAGCCTGTCATAGAAAACACCAAAGACTCCATCAAAAAACTACTAGACTTACTAAATGAATTCGGCAGTGTAGCAGGTTACAAAATTAACACTCAGAAATCTATGGCTTTTTTATACACCAACTAGAGAACTGGTGCACGGATTCGCGCACCGTGGGGTTCCTCAGCCTGGCCTGTGGCTTCTTGCCGCTCCCACTCATCCCAGCCCCTCTGCGTCTACTGCTGCTGCTTGGTAGCGCGCTGCCACGGAGACGGGAGAGGCTCCTGCTGCCTCAGGGGAGCTTGCCAGCAGTGAGCCTGGTGTCTGGTGCCCATCAGTCAGCTGAGCGGCACTCCCACTGTGGGAGTGCACTGACCACCAGGGGGCAGCTCCTGCATTGAAAATCTGCCTCCTGGTGGTCAGTGCATGTCATAATGACCAGTCGTTTAGGCTTTTATATATAGAGATAATGAACTCATAGAAAGAGAAACTAAAAAAAAAATCCAATTTATCATTGCACCAAAAAAAATTAAGATACCTGGGAATAAACTAAACTAAGGATGTAAAAAGACCTGTACTCGGAAAACTACAGGACACTGAAAAAAGAGATAGAGGAAGACATAAACAAATGGAAGTATATACCATGTTCATGGATTGGTAGAATCAACATCATTAAAATGTCTATACTACCCTACCCAAAGCAATTTATAGATTCAATGCAATCCCCATTAAGATACTAAAAGAATATTTCACAGACCTAGAACTAACTCTCCAAAAATTCATAAGGAATAAAAAAAGACCCTAAATAGCTGTAGCCATCCTGAGAAAGAACAAAGTTGGAAGGATCACAATACCAGTGGTATTACAAAACCACTGTCCTCAAAACTGCCTGGTACTGGCACAAGAACAGATATATAGATCAATGAAACCGAACAGAGACCCCAAAAATCGACCAAGCCATTATGCTCAATTAATATTTGACAAAGGAGACAAGAGCACACAATGCAGTCAAGACAGTCTCTTCAATAAATGGTGTTGGGAAAATGGGACAGATTCTTGCAAAAAAAATGAAACTAGATCACCACTTACACCATACACAAAAATAAACTCAAAATGGATAAAGGACTTAAAAATAAGATAGGGAATCATAAAAATCTTATAAGAATCCATAGGCAGCAAAATATTAGACATATGTTATAGCAATATCTTTAGAAATACAGACACCAGGGCAATGGAAACTAAGGAGAAAAATAAACAAATGGGACTACATCAAAATAAAAAGCTTGTGCACAGCAAAAGAAACCATCAACAAACAAGAAAGCCCACTGTATGGGAGAACATATTTGCCAATGTTATCTCCGATAAGGGTTTAATCTCCAACATGTACAGGGAACTCATGCAACTCAACAAAAGGAAGATAAACAGTCCAATCAAAAAATGGGCAAAGGACCTACTAGGCACTCTGAGGAAGAGGACATACAGAAGACATATGAAAACATGCTCAAAGTCACTAATCATCCAAGAGATGCAAATCAAAACAATGAGGTACCATCTCACACCTGTCAGAATGGCTATCATCAACACATGAATGGAATATAATGAACAACATAAAGTGATGAACAAAAACAGAGCCAGAGAAAAGAAATATTTTAGAATATAATAGAAGTAATCCTGTTATTTGAAGTTTTTTAATATTTCCTACAACTTTTGTGATATACTATGTTAGTACAGTTTTGGTAATATTATATTTAAAATCTTTTTTTCTTGAAATATTAATGTTTATTGCATGTAATATTATTATATTCAAAATAGTTTTTCTTGAAATATTGTTTATTGCATGTAACATATTTAAAATCATTTTTCTTGAATTATTGTTTACTGCATGTAAATTATATTTAAAATCATTTTTCTTGAAAAAAATTAGCCTGCTATATTTCATCAAATATTTAATTAACTCACCTCTAATGCCTTGTCAGGCCCAGACCAAATGATTTTGTGGACCGTACACAGCCCATGGGCTGGACATTCCCCAGCCCTGCACTAGGTAAACCATTTTTATTATCTAAAATATATACTTGAATGTTTTTCTTGTATGTACATTAAAATAAGCATCTTGTCAGGACACTTTTTAGAGCACTATTGCTTTTCAAAAATTAAATAGCCTATTTGGTTTTCTTGTGTGCCTTTTCTCTTTACCTGATGGAAATCTTTCCACCTCATATAGTTGTACCCCATCATTTTAAATGGTTATGTAATCTATGTATGCAAAGCCTAAGCAACCATTATGACCAGACGACCAGTCAGTAGCTATGATGTGCACTGACCACAGGGGGCATACGCTTAACGCAGGAGCTGCTCCCTGGTTGTCAGTGTGCTCCCACAGCCAACCTCCTGCGGTCCCTCCCCCTGGCCGGCAGGCCCTGATCGGCCCTGATAGGGACTGGGCGAGGTGGCCCCGATTGGCCCCGATCACTGACCAGACCGAGGGATCCCACCTGTGCATGAATTCGTGCACTGGGCCTCTAGTATCTTATGATAAAGATGGTCCACAGTGTAGTCAACCATTCCCCTACTAACTGGCATTTATTTGGTACTCAGGTTTTAGCCACTAAGAATGCTACATTAAATATATTTGTATTTGTGTTTTTATCTACTGGAACTTTTATTCCTATGAAAGAGTCCAAAAACAGGTTTGCTGGATTGAAAGGTATAATTTTTATCTTAAAAGGTGTTTTAAAGTAATTTCCGTAAAGGCTCTAAGTCAGTGGTTCTCAACCTTCTGGCCCTTTAAATACAGTTCCTCCTCATGTTGTGACCCAACCACAAAACTATTTTCGTTGCTACTTCATCACTGTAACGTTGCTACTGTTATGAATTGTAATATAAATATCTGATATGCAGGATGGTCTTAGGCGACCCCTATG